GATATTTTCCCGCAGTAAAAAGTATTCTATATGTTGACCCGGATAACCAGATGAAGAGAACCCGGATATCATCATACCAAATTTCATCAAAATTCCTCGCGTGGTTTTTCTGTGATGCGATTACAGACAGACAGACAATAATTCTAAAAACTATAGATTCGGCCTTTGTATCGATAATAATGTTTTTTCAATTAGATTTTCCAAAAAATATTTAATGTACAGATTCGGCTCAGTTACAATTTTATTATATGTATAGATTAGTCATGTTAGTTGATCTCTATATGCAACTCGTACAACACATTTAGAAAACTTAAGCCAAGAAATATCAGTAATGCTACATATTTATATAATATGATATAGTCAGTTGCCTAACCAGTATACACAAATCAAGGCAGTTAAACGTAATATGGGTCAATGTACTAAACTAATCCATTAATACACTAATAGCTAATATTAGGTGTTTTGTCACGTAGGCTTAAAATCTATCGTAGCTACTCATTATGCATTTAATGTTATTCCATTAAATATTAATAGCGACATATGTGCTTAGGCTAAATTGTGCAAATTCTATAAAATTGAGACTTTATGTTTTCATTTTGTTCAAGTCATAGAAAATTTCATAATTAAAAAAGCAGCGAATTTTCTAATACATGCAGAAAATGAATGCCTATCTCGTAAAATTCAGTCGGTTTTCTTTTGACGTAACCATAAAATAGTCTAAATTTGACACTTGATCATTTCTCTGTAGCCTTTCTCAGTAGTTCGATAGTTTGCAGTGTATTTAATTTCGCCTTTCCGACGGGGTCAACGTTTCTCAGCTCGTCAACAAATCCATCGACGAGAATAACCCGTTACACTGCATCGCCTTCCAGCGGATTTCACTCGCGAACATTGCCTGCTAGACCATTATACCATTTTATACCAGCGCCGTGGGCTTTATGGCTAATGAACGCTGCAGTTCCAATTCTAGTACGCCATCTAGGCTAGTACCAACACTTAAGTCGCTCAACAGACCTTAAAATACTTGCCCATATTAATTAATGTTACAAGGAACTACTGTAAAATGTTAATGCGGCGCGGCCTCGCGGCATAAATTTTGTATTAATTATTTACGTACATATATAGATGAAGATACCTATATATGTACTTAATTTGTCTTATGAGTTAAATGCATTTTTACAATTTTTGATGTAGTATATTTAACTTTTAATATATTTTTTTTGTTTATTAAATAGTTAACAAAACTGAGTCGAGCTCTACCATTATTATTATTATACCCTTATATAACTTTTAGATAATTTTACATCATTTGATAACTTGATCTCTTTATCTCAATGATCGATGGCCTTTGATAAGACCTGAGATGAGTTGCGGGTTAAGAATCGTTGACGGGATAAATTTGTATACTTTTGTAAATTTCTAAAAGAAAATATTTTATTATATCATTATTGAGAAATAATTATATTTTAAATAAAACTATCTTTTCGGATTTTTCGCGGATTTATTTAGATTTTTGGTTCCCGACGTTTTGAATGCTTTACAGTAATCATTGTCACGGGAGAGACTCATAATTGCTGTATAGTTCAAAACGTCGAGAACTTAAATTCAAAATAAATCCGCGAAAAAAAAGATAGTTTTGTTTAAAATGTCAAATTTTCGCGTAAAAAGAAAGTATTAAATATTGATATTTTTATAAAATAATTATATAGAAATCTTATCGACTCTAAACAAAAACCATAACTATGGTCACTAATATTATCCATTTATTATTGCTAAATATAAAATTTTAGTAAAATAAAATAAATTACAGTTTCCAATATTACTTTCGATTAAGAAACGAGTAACGCTATCATAAGCGTAGCATTTCAAATTAAAATATTGGGACGAAGAAGTATGTAAATTTTCTATAGATTAATTCTCACAGTTGTTCATTGCGTGTTGGTCTACATGACCAGTCATGTAGTGAAAGGTACGCATAGAACTTTTGATTGCTATTTACTATGTATATATCAGTAATAATAATAATAGTTTAATTAATTTTTCCAGTACATTCCTTATTTTAAACATAAACGGTAACGTGTTACTGTACACTGTACAGTACACCCAGTACACCTTTAGTATTCTTCTATTGTTTATTTTAAAGTAAAACAGCTGTGTAAAACTTTAGCATTGACGCACTTCATTATATACTATATTTTATTGGCAACCGAATTTAATGTTATAAAAGCAAATTAAATTAAGTTTTGTCCCGTGGAATTTAAAATAACAAACGTATTATAGTTGGTTACATCTCTACAGTTGTAGAGTTAGAATTTTACTATATAATAGAATGCTAAGGTCGAATAACTTTAAAGACTTTGAAACCGACACAAAAAAATTGTTTTGTCCTTTTCTTGTTGGTTATAATGGTAATTTAAAGTTATTGCGAAGTTACTACACGCAGTTCTACGAAGACAGTAATTTAATTAAAATAATACGATTCCAATGATTAACAAATGGATTTTATATAATAAATAATAATAATATATGTACATATATTTATAACATTAAAGTTATTTTCTTTTGTAAAATATTATTATATGTCAAAAATACTAAAATATAATAATATTAATATTTGACTCATATAATGTATAGGTAGACTCTTGTATGAACGTGAAAATGATTTTTAACATATAAACTATAACTAAAATTATGACACCACACGAAAAACAGGTAGGTATATGAAAGTAAACCGTTCACATGACGAGCTGCTTTTTGTATATTCCTGTCATTTGATATTGAACTGTAGTTTTTAGCACTTCACTGGCATAGGTCACATTTTCCTTTGATAAAAATGCGGTATGCGGTTAACCTTAGGGACGGAGGGTAACCATTGATTTTTCGTGTAGTTAACGTGACGTCACGACCGCGACAGTGTGGCGCAGACGGCGCGCGCCGGCTCGCGTCTCACCGGCGACTGCCGAGCGAACTCAGTAGTCCTACACTCTACACTCTACAGTAACTTTGCTAGACGGCAAGAGGAAATGCCAGTTGCCATGCGGTCCTCCTCGAATCACTTCACTGACGACCTTTTGCATTGGTTTGTGCAGGCCCAGCTGATTAGGGAAATAAACATCGTTGACAGAGATACACACATTTGCATTGACAATGCAAACTATTTTTTTTTTGTGAATATTGGTTATTACACTTCCCAGATCGACTGGAAGTATTTTATATTGATTTTAAAATTATGACAAAATGATTAAAGTACTAGCGACTCACCCTCGCTTCGCTCGGGTTCGTCCCTAGCTTGATTCCCAATACAAACTTTCATTCCCATTCTCACCACCTTAAGGGATGATTTCCGGGATAAAAAGTATCATATGTCCTTCCCAGGGTCTCAAACCATCTTCTTACCCAATTTCATTTAAATCGGTTCAGTAGATCCAAAGATTACCCCTTACAACGTCACAAACTCACAAACTTTACCTCTTTATAATATTAGTATAGATGAAATAAGGAAATATTTAGAATTTAAAAGGTACGTTCGCAATTTCCCTAACTCAACAGATAGAATTAAAATATTGAGAACACGTTGTACGCAGTATATTGAAAGACTATAATAATCGGTTGGATAGTCATTGAGATCCATGTACTGTTAATAATGCCACCTACTTCTAATAATACATTAATTAAAATAGGAGCAAGCTACTTTGGTACAGCCGATCTACTTATTGTTATTTTTTCCTTCTCACTTAGTTGTCTCTACTTTTGAGTGATGAGGGGTGGACAAAGGACATGGACGTGAGGGGGTTGATTAAATTCATAATCATATCTATGAAATAACCAACGTTTAAAACCCGCACATAAATAATTGCAAGAGTTATGAAAAAATAAATATTTCATTAAAAAGGGATCTTTGATAAAGCTATAAGAAAAGTGCCACGTTTGAAGATACATTCACAATTTATTTTATATGCATTATTCAAAGAGAAGTAGTTGAGAAATGTATTGACTATAGTGGATGGCCTGAAGATTCGATAGAAAGTTTGCTAATAGAGTTCAATTATATACCTTAAATTATCAATATTATTAGTCCAATGTGTTATACATTATGTACGTTAAACGATATTCGTTTATATTTTCAGAGTTATAACTTCTAAGGAATTGAACAATTTCTGGACTTACTGAATCCTTGCCTTTTTTACGACAGCCAAATTGTGACGTACCCTGACAGTAATAACAGGAAAAATATTTGCATAAGTGTAGAGTCCTTTCGGATTTTCGAAAATATGCTATATGATTTTTAAATATATTACTAGTGACAATTTAGGTTTGTATGTATTTTTTAATGGCGAATTATAGAAAATTAAAATAAAAAATTTTGTTCAAAATATATATTATATATTAAATTTAGACTTGCTCTTTTTGTTTTATTACATAGCCACTTGGTATCGTCCACGATCCAATATTTACAAAACTGTCAACAATCGAAAATAATATCAAGCTTCAACCTTTAACATAAACAATATTAACAACAAATATCGTATATATTTAAAAATAAATAGGACTGCGTAATGAAATGCGCAAATAAAAGTCTTTTCGATTTTATGAGCTACTGCTATTATATTCAAGTAGGCGTTTATTTATACGTCAAGAGTAAAGACCATTACGCGCCTGATAAAACCTGTACTGCAATTTTATTTTTTCATGTTTCCATGCTTTTAGCTGTTAGTAAATTATGCATTATTGGAGTATAAAATAAAGAATATTTAAACAACCAGTCTGCGATTAAATAGCTGGCATTTTATTTAACACGCTTTATATTTAAACTGTTACGTAGATTAAATTAAATAATAATTATTAATTATTTATTTTTTAATCGCAGATCCGCGAAATGAATAACCACACTGTGACGGTATAAAACTCGTTACCTTCCTAAAAAACAAAAAGCGATATGAAAATTTAGATTATTGAAGTCACCAGCACAATATAGTATTATAAGAATTAAGTAAACTTACGTAACAAAGGAAAGCGGCTCGTTGAATGTTTGCCCAGTGGCGTACTGATGGCACTTATGTCGCTCTGGGAGCTATGCAAGCTGCTCTTACCGCTGCCATTTGCTGAGCCCAAGTCCATTCGCATCCTCATATGACGACTGAAAGTGAGCCATAAGTTTATTTTTAAAGTTTTTGTTGCAAAAGATGGATATATAAAGATGATCAGAACAAAATTACATGAAACACTTAATAATCTATTTGAAATCATTAAAATAAGGAGAGTAACCATAACACAAGCCTCGTAGCTTACCATGGAACTAGATGGTGCTGTGTGTTAATGTCCCAACATATTTATTTATTTATTTATTTATTTATCGGGCACTGGAACGCAGCAACAAAGCAATCTATAAAGATTCATCGCTATACTCCAAATATAATACTCAATAACTAAATTTGGCAAAAACTGAGACTCGAACTCAGGACGCACTAGAGCGTCGTTTGTTACCGAGGCTCTACTAAAAAAATACATCCTTTTCAAAATCACGAAGATTAGTTATTCCACCCTTACTAATTTTTTTTTCTTTTTCTTAATATTTATATGACCACCAATGAATTATAATAAATTCTATTCACATACGCAAACACAAGTCCTTTTTGAAATCGGTCTAAAATAGATATAGACAAGAACATTATATTTACCTTTTAGGTTTTGTGTTGATATTGGTAGATTTTGAGCTCAGCATTCTAGTTACGCTACACGACGTTTGCGATCGCTGTAACGTGAAGGAACAGTCCACTTTCGATTTTATATCTTTAAAAGATTTATTTTTGTAATCAGCCTTTATATCTAAAGTATTCTTTTTCAAAAAATTGTCCCGTCTATCGGGTTTCTTTGCTGATTTTGGACTATTTTGTACGCTATTATCTACTTCAGTCTTTCGACTTGCCAGCATAGTTTTTAATTTGCTGGGTACGTCGCGTTTAGGCATTTTATATTTTTTCAAAGTAAAGCTACGTTTTTCTTCTTTATTTTTATCAGTACACCTTACGTCCTTGACACTGTTAAGAGAATTTCTTTTACTAGTATTTTTTGGTGTTTCATCCTCATCAATAAGGTTTGATGCATCAGAATTTTGTTCTTCTAGCGTATCTCCGACAGGCGTAAAACAAGTGTTAATTTTGCCACACCCAGAACTTTTTTGACTGCATTCGGAATTAGTGGACGTTGTAGAATCAGGGGACATATCACTTATAACATTTAAGAATACAGGTGAAGAACGATGGTTTTCAAAGTCAGTGTAAACTCCACTCGATTCCATACAAGAATCTTCACTTCTATTCACAATTAAAGGTGCATTGCCATTCATATTTTTACCTCCATAAAGTGCACCATCAATCACTTGAGCTTTTCGATCACCGCGTTGCATATGCTCATCTAAACCATCTGCGTCACTCTCTGTAAAGAAATCAGAATCTGTCATGGGATCTACTCTCCTCGGTACAGGAACATTCTGCCAATCCATTTCTATAGCATCTTCACGTGGTCCACTATTGTGATCGGCACTTCTGCTCACGGGTCTAGACATTTCACCATCACCTTGATAACCATCTAAACTCGTAATACTTGTAATACTTGTTATAAAACTATTCGAAACTTTTGAAGTTTCCATGGATTTATCATTTTTGCTGTCTGAGTATGTTTGAGAATCGTGTAAAGTTGATGCTGAGAATTGCGAGTAAGTACTTATTTCACCGTTTATATCTGAATTGTCAAGAGGTAAATCTTCAGGTGAAGGGGTTTGTTCTATTCTATTTGTTATTAGAGGATTTCCATGTTTACAATCCAATGGTATTTCTAAATTTACTGTAGTATCAGCAATGGAACTTATTGGTTCTAAAATACTTCCATGTATAGATGGTAAAAATTCTTCCTCAATTAAGTTAGATACACAATCGTCTTTAACTAGATCAGCTTCATCAATAGCAGATGGTTTACCTTGATCTACGGCTTCTTCAAGTGAATAACAAAAAGCTTTAAAATTATTATCATCATTTGTAAGTGGATCAATAGCATCTATAGTTGCTATTAGGGCAAATGATTCTCTTAATTTACACCTGTTACTAATATTTTCAAAACCATCGTTTTGTATCGTTGAAGCTGCTGAATTGCTGTCAGTTTTATCTGTAGAAGGAGTATCACCATTTTCAGAAGATGCTTTATATTCATTACTGTCACAAAATATCGGCAATCCTTCCACTGTTGGAGAAAATGCGTTTTCCAAATAACATATATCATCCATCTGATCTGGTGTCAGAATGCCCAAGCTGTCGTCAAGAGAGTTTTCTTCGTTATTTCTACTAAGTGAGTTATCGTTCGGACTTAAATTCGTTTCGAAAGTTCGCGAATGAATGTGAGATTTTAATTGTAAACAGAGATCTGACCTTGACTGAGTAGTGAACTTTTTTGGTGGGAAGTTAAATTCTTTTTCACATGAATATTCGAATTCTTTCATAGGCTTATCATCAAAATTGACAACATTTGGTAATCTTTCTAAACTTTTATTAGACAAGCCTGTTATTCTGCTTAAACTTTGAGAATTTGATTCTGTACTTTCATCTAGACCCTTTGAACTCCAAGAATCGGTTTTTAATAAAGACTTCGAAGACGATGGATTGGTCTGCAAGTCAAATAAAAGACTGTATGGTCCAGAATCATCACCATCTTTATCTTCGACTAAATGTTGTGTAAAGTCATTGATAATTCCTTTTGTCATTTTATCAACATTACGATCTTGTTTTTTTGTTATTTCATTTAATTTTTCCCTTAAATCCAAAATTCTTGGATTTTTTTCAACAACTTTTTCTGTACTAAAACTCATTTTTGGTATAAGTGATGTGTAAGGTTTAAAATATAATTTATCCTTTAACTCATTATTTCCCTTTAAATCTGACGTTAAGCTTTTTTCAGAAATTTCTCTGTTTTTAACATCACTATACTGTAGGGTTCTGACTTTAGGAGGCTCATTCGAATACATGCCACGAAGATTTAACGATCTTGATTTGCCATGTCTATCAATAGGTATCTGAAAAAAATAAATATTTAAATTACTTGATTTGTAAATTACAATAGTAAGCAAACCACCAGAAATCCACCTTAGCAAATAAAATTTGTATTTTAATTAGTGTATTAATTTTTAAGTGCAATAAAATATAGTATAAAATATTTTATTGCTTTCTATATCTATAAATATAATACAATTCTAACTATGCCAAATCTGTACATTAAATATTTTTTGGAAAATCTTATTGAAATAGACATTATTATCGATACAGAGGCCGAATCTATATTTTTTAGAATTTTTGTCTGTCTGTCTGTCTGTCTATCTGTTACCGCAACACGGAAAAACAACTGGAGAGATTTTGATGAAATTTGGTATGATGGTAGCTGGTCAACATATAGGATACTTTTTACTGCGGGAAAATATCTCATCTCTGAGAAATCTATACTAAACGTTAAAAAGTAAGAACTAGAGTAGAGCGAGGGTGAGTCGCTAGTATACGATATAATATTTATAATTGCGGACTTCGTCTGATCTCATGAATTTGTGTTGTGATATATGTACATATGTACAAGATTGCAGGCATGTTCAAGATTACAGTCTAATGTTTTAAACATCACATTCTTTATAAACACTAATGAATATTAAATAGGGAATTATTCTACTTTGTGACATCACCGATAACAAATATATCCATATAAGAAGAAACATGTTAGAGTAACGAGACCAACCAACAATGTGTGTACTATAAATTACCTTTACATTAGTTATGTAATTATACGAACGTTATTTTTAATATATGTATACTAGCGACTCACCCTCGCTCCGCTCGGGTTCGTCCCTGGGGTGGGGTCTGGGAGGACCACCCTTATCCTTATCACTTAGGGGTATGGAAAATAGATAGTAGCCGATTCTCAGACCTACTGAATACGCATATAAAATTTGGTAAAAATCGGTAAAGCCGTTTCGGAGGAGTACGGTAACTAACATTGTGACATGGAAATTTTATATATATATATATATATATATATATATATATATATATATATATATATATATATATATATATATATATATATATATATATAGGCACAAATTCAGAATTGGGGACTTGGCCCCTAGCGGAGTGGGTGGTATTTCTGGATAAGGGACGTGATAGGGAGTCGAAATGTTAAATAAATTTTTTAATACAACAAAAGATTCAAAAGTTATTGAGACTTAAAGTTACAACATTTCCATACATTTTCATATATTTCTTTACCACCATTCGGAGTGGGTGGTATTTTTAGATAGGGGAGGTGACAGAGAGTCAAAATATATTAAAAATATTTGGAGGAAACGTACGACTAAAAAGTTATTGAGACTTAAAGTTATAACATATCTAACACATTTCCATACATTTCTTTACCTAAATAAGTGATTACAACAGATAAACATACCTTTAACGAATAGTACGCATCCTTTTTTATGTACATTACACATTTTCACAACAATTAATGCTTTATTGTATTTAATATTTTAATAATTTCACAACACAAACAAAATGATCTTACATTTTGACAAAAGCAAAACTGACACTTTGTTTTATATTACCGCTTAAATGACAACAGATTATATTTGATTATTTTTGCTTTTTCTGTTGGTAAAATATTAATATTAATAAATAAATAAATAAAAAGAAAAATATTATTTTCACTTTATAAATACATTTATAACTTTTTATTTGATTTATGTAAAATATATTGTTTTACAATTGTACATTTAGTAAAAAAAATCATTTTTTTATCTGTGAATATTTTTAATTATTTATTTATTATTCGTCATATCTGGGTTAGGTTAGGTTAGAACATTTAAGATTATTTATTTATTATTCCTCATATCTGGGTTAGGTTAGGTTAGAACATTTAAGATTATTTATTAATTATTCGTCATATCTTGGTTAGGTTAGGTTAGAACATTTAAGATTATTTATTTATTATTCCTCATATCTGGGTTAGGTTAGGTTAGAACATTTAAGATTATTTATTTATTATTCCTCATATCTGGGTTAGGTTAGGTTAGAACATTTAAGATTATTTATTAATTATTCGTCATATCTTGGTTAGGTTAGGTTAGAACAGTTCCCGGGGCAGAGGCTGACTGCTACCGGGCGCGTCCCCCGGGTGGCGGATAGGGGAATGCCACTCGCGACTGTTCCCCCAGACAGGAGCTTGTGGTACCGGAGCAATCCGGCGCGGACCAACAGCCAGGAGGGGCAGGGGGAGCGGTGTCAGGAGGGCGCCGTCTCCTCCTTGGAGGTAGCGCGGTGTCTCCGGCCGTTTTGCGGTAGGAGGCGCTGCGCGGGCCGTGCTGCCGGGGCTAGCCCGTCGGTGCGGCGGCTGGAGCGGGGCCATTTCGGTGGTCCTGCGTCTGGCGTGGTTGTCGGCAGCCATCTTGGTCCGGAGGTGGGCCGACGGTAGGGGGGCCGCGGGGGAAGAGGAGTGTCGGTATGGCGATGCGCCGCTCGTCCCTATCTCCCGCGGCCTAGCGGGGCCACCACCGTTAGATGGTGGACGCGGTGGGGCTGCAGAGGAAGAGGAGTGTCGGTGTGTCGTTGCCGCTCTCCCTGTCCTCTGCAGCCGATTGGAGGTGGCCTACTTCGGTGGGCGGAGGTTGGATTTGATGGGGCTGCTCCGGGTACCTCTCTGGTGTAGCAGAGTTGACTGTGGAGCAGCCTCATCGGTATGGTGGTCAGCCATTGGCAGACCTGCCGCCGGGGCGCCGTAGTAGTTATGCGCGAGCGATCCTGCGGCGTCCCATTAAGGCGGAGGGGAGGGGAATGTCGGGTTTTAGTGGGTAGTACCGGCTCTTCTAGCCGGTGAGCCCCACATAACCACCTGGGGGGGGAGGGGGGGTTTATCAGGTGGCATGCGTAAATGCATTTCCCGACAAAAAAAAAAAAAAAAAAAAAAAAAAAAAAAAAAAAAAAAAAAAAAAGGTTAGAACAGTTTCAGGGCAGTTGCTGGACTGCTACTGGGCGCGTCCCCCGGGTGGCGGATAGGGGAATGCCACCACATTGGTGGTACCGGTCTTGACCGGCGCGGACCAAAACCAGCAGGCATGGCCGTGCCTTTAGGGGTTCGTTAACCCCACGGCCTAGGGGAGCACACCCTAAACAAAGCCGAAGCTGTGGATCAGCAAAAATCCATCATGCAAGCAGCCAGTAAAGACAAACTACCCCAGGAGGGTACCGGTGTGACATTCCACCGGGAATCCCTTCACGCTACGGCGTGCTGCCCCTTGAATTCTGGGGGGGGGCAACTACTGCTTGAGTGATGTCGGGGAGGAGCCCGAGAAGGGCGGAGGTGTTGTTGGGCCCGAGAAGGGTGGAGAAGACGGTGAGCCTGAGATGGGCGGAGTGACTGCGGGGCCCGCGAAGGGCGGAGTAAAGGAGAGGCCTGTAACGGGCGGAGTTAAAGGAAGAATTGCGAAGGGCGTGCTAACTAAAGGTGTTGCTGCTTCTGCTGCTCAACGTTCTCGGAGCCAGTCTGGATCCCCAGAGGAGCACAAAAGGCTCGATGCGAGAATACCAACCACTCGCACGAGAGGTCGTCCACCAACCACTGGACAGTATGTGGGGTTGGCCGAAGCTCAACGAGCCCTCAATGAAGCGAGGAAGGAGGAGCTCAGGCTCAAAGCCCAAAAGGAGGTGATGGACAGGGCGGCGGCACTTAAGACTAGAATGAGCCCACGCCAACCTGCTAGATCAAGTTTGTCCGCTAATACGGCTGGAGTGGGCCAGGAGACAGATCTTGTGACGGAGCTCCAGGGGAAAGTTAAAAGTAGCCTGGAAGTCATACAGATGGTTGCCACAAAATCGGGCAATCTAAAGGGTGGATTTGTTAAGGCCCTAAAAGATGCGGCGAGTACAATCGCTGGTGCCGTGGAAGTGCTCGCTCAACGCACAGCATCTGAGGAGGTGACAAAGCTCCGGGCCCAAAATACCAGGCTTCAGATAGAGATGGATGTCCTGAGGAAAGAGATGGCAGCGATGAGGTCGGAGATGAACCGAGTACGAACAGCGCCACTCCCGCAACTGCCTCCTACGAATGTGGAGCCGAGCACGGACATAGCTGCGCTAAGGAGGGAGCTCGCGCTGCTTAAAGAGCAACAGGAGAGGTCCGGTTCGGCGCCGTTTAATGCCGAGGAATTGGTGCGCTCCATAATGGGGCAAGTGGGTACTATGGTGAGTGCCCATTTCGAGGGCTTGGAGGCTAGGCTACTTCCAGAGCAACGAGTCCAACCACCGGTGCCCGCAGATGCAGCTCGTGAGTCGGGAGTACCTGCCACTACACTTATGGCTCCCGCTAATCCTGGAATGAAGGGGCGCAAAAAGAAGAGCAAGAAGACGTCCCCTAAAAGAGCACAGACAGATGCTCCAAAGGAGGTTGAGCCGCCTCCACCTGCTCCTTCCAACGCAGAGGGGTGGAACCTGGTGGCCAAGCGGGGCGCAAAGAGAAAGGAAAGGCGCCAGGATAAGAAAAGTGTCCAAAAGCCTAAGCCACCAAAACTGCGCCCACCAAGATCCGCGGCGGTGGTCATAAAACTACAGCCAGAAGCGGCGGAGCGCGTTACCTACAGTGATGTGTTCGCACGGGTGAAGCGCGAAGTTCGCTTGGAGGAACTGGGGATCGTGGATCTCCGGTTCAAAGTAGCGACCACAGGGGCCAGAATGTTGGAAGTGCCCGGCAAGAATAGTGCCGACAAGGCGGACGCTCTGGCACAAAAAATCAAGAGGGTGCTGGTCGAGAACGACGTGGTAGTCTCCAGGCCGACTAAGTGTGCAGAAATTCGTGTCATAGGCCTGGATGACTCGGTAACGCCAGACGAACTGGCAGAGGCTGTCGGTGGAGTCGGGGGCTGTTTGCCTGCAGCAGTGAATGTAGGAGGGATACGCCGTGATCATACCGGCCTGGGATCAGCGTGGGTCCGGTGCCCCATTTCCGCTGCCAAGAAGGTAGTAGACGGTGGTCGCCTTCTCGTGG